ATGATGAGACTCTAGCAACCTAATCAGATTCTATCTATCTCAGATTGCAGCAGAAATCAGGAAAAGTTGATCAGACTTCAATTGACTCAATAAACATGCATCATTCGATTATAATCAAACAATATAGCATCCAAAACTTCATACAAGAAAGATCCTAACTCATGGAACTAGGGTTCCTCAAAACCTAAGTGAAGGGAGGTTACTCCATAGAAGAGAGAGAGACTGCAGAAATCTGATCTAGATCTTCAATCTCCATCTCCAAGCTTGATTCCCGAGCTCCAATGGCGAAGAAATCCTCCAAATTAGCTCCAAGAATGTTCCCAAGTCGCTCTCTCTCTCTAGGGTTCGTCCCTTGGGTGTTTGGGATCCAAAACCCAGCTCTCCCTCTCCTTTGGCTCGAATTTGGGTTAAAAACAGCCATTCCCGACTCGCACGGCCAGGGTGCACGGCCGTGCACATCACCATTCTGGCCGTGCACCTCAAAACGCGGCGTATCAATTAGTTGAACCTCAGCCAACTCGCACGGCCAGAATTGTATGTTGCACGGCCGTGCGTGGCCACGCACAATCCCGTGCGTGCCCACGCACAATCCCGCACGGCCAAACTGGTCACTTGCACGGTCGTGCGTGGCCACGCTGGTCTGCCCGTGCAGCTTGCTCAGCCTCTGTTTAATGCTTCGTTTCTCCCTCGTCCGGACTCCGAATCAATCGCCGTTTGATCCCAGACGCTCGTAGTCTCGTCCTCTTTCGTTTCATAACAAGCTTGCATGATTCTTTGTCCATAAAGTGAGGTAGAAATCCATTCTTCTTCAGGTCATGCCCGAGTTTCTTCTCTTGAATCGTCAATTGATCTCTGATTGACTTGAAACTTGCGCCTATGCTTCACTTTATGTGCTAGGACCTGAAATGGGACAAAGGAACACAACCTAGCATAAAATAGGCCAAAGACGCAATAATTCAAGCTCAAACAATCAAGAAACAAAGGGGAAAACATGTGCAAATACCGAGTCATCAAATCCCCCCACACTTAACTGTTTGCTTGTCCCCAAGCAAACCTAACTCAAACCAATGCAACTCTCCAGACCTCTATAGCAACAAACAACCCAGATCGTAGGTAGAGGACTTCCTAGATCATTTAGCAGCTTACGAGGTCAACCGACGCACAAGTCATCTCATAACTTCTTCGGCGAGTCGGCATCATGGCAAATAGTGAACAGAGGACAAATGAATTGTGGATGAGGAGATTCTCAAAAACAACAGATCATGGACTCACATTTTTCAAGGTGCTCTATTTTCTGCTTCTTGAAGATGGTTGAGACCCCTTTTTTTTTTGTTTTGCTTGTTTTCTGATATTTTTCTTTTCTTTTCTTTTTCAAGGGTCCCAACCTGCTCTTACCGGCCATGCCAGGAGCGGATGTCTCGAGCCTCGTGCGGGGGAAAGACATGTAAGGGGGCTGGAGGTAGTAGGTGGAAATTGGGAACGAATTCCCGTCTCCCCTTACACACTTTCGCCCTATTCGCACGGGAGACGTTATTTTGAAGCACATTTTCGAGCACCTGTTAAACTCAAAACATGATACAAGAGTCCATAACAGGTAGAGAATCCACAACACCACACAATTCAAGGGTCCTAAGATCACTAATTCACTCAATCAACCAACTCAATATGAAGAAGAAATGAAACTTCTTAAATGCATCAACATCCTCCATAGTGCTACACTACCTCCCTAGGTTGCATATTACTGTAAAGACTGTCAATTCAAAGCATACTGAGCAGGCACTTGCAAGGAAACACGTACTTGGAGCCCTCAAATTTAAAAATTTGGGCAGTGAACTAGGCTCCAAGCACACAAACAGCCAAACATTCACCCGCATACATAATCGAACACCCCCCCCCCCCCACACTTAAGCACGACATTGTCCTCAATGGAGGAAAGATAAGGAGGGTAGAACGAAGTTACCAGATCAAGGGTGAATGATGATGTACGGGTCAGGCAGTGCATTCCAGGAAGAGAGAGTAATCAGAACACAAACACCACACAAAATCTCACAAAGGTTGAGTTATTGACTCTAAAATCAAATAACAAAACTGACTCAACCGAGGAGAAATAGAGAAAGAAATGCAAACCGACTGGTTGGGTTGCCTCCCAACAAGCGCTTCTTTCACGTCGTGAGCCGGACGATGGCTCCTAAGTTTCGGTCCATGCTAGAACCTCCTTGAAGTTGAGGTTCTCGTCGATGAGGTGGAGTCTCAAGTCACGAGCATGTGGTGTGGCAGGTGAGGAAGGCTCATGTACTTGATGCAGATGAAGTCTCCACCCTAGAGACCTCTTCTTCTCTTCTCTCGTCTCATTGCCCCAAACCAGATATGACAGCATCGATTGGCCACCATCGCGTCCACCAAGAGGGACCGATGTCGATGTGGCCTTGGTCTGGCAAAGAGACACTGCAAATGGGTCCTTGCCAAGCAGCTCCTCGAAGTTTGGTGGAGATATCACATGTAACTCATGGCCGGTGCAGGCCTCTTCCACCTTAACTCCGTCCTCAGCCTGGACGCCAATTGCTTCTTCAACCTCCCTTTCTTCTTCATGTGGTATCACCCCTGGGAAAAGATCAAGAACTCCTCCTGCTTCACTTTCTTCATCCTCCACAACTTCTTTCTGCACCCTTTCTCGCTCTTCTTCTTCTAGCACGGATTGGAGAGCAAGTTGCCAAGCAATTTCTTTCATGAGATTTTCTTGCATCTCCTCACTCATGCCCGCCTCTTCAAAGCTCAGTTTGGGATGTGGGAAGGTGTGGTCGGCTACGGCAGGAAATTCCTGATCATGATCATCACGAGAGCTTTTCGTGAAAACTTCTGTCTGCTCCACAATATCCTTGTAGCCTTCGTCTTCCTCCTCCTCTTCTAGTATGATAGCAGAAGGGTGATCTTGAGCAGGTTGTGCATAAGCTTTCTCAAGATCCTCGAGGCTCTTCTTTATGCTCAGGAGGGTCTCCTCTGTTTCACGGTAGGAGAACCCAGTTTGGGCATTGTCTGGGATATCCATCTTTGGAAAGGATGTCTCAGGTACTCGAGCAATCTGGTCCACGAGAAGCCTCAAGTGATAGTTTGGATCTGGCTGATGGAGGAATTCTTCTTGATAAGGAGATTGTTCTTGAAATACCCAGGGGTCTGATTGTTCTTCGTAGGATGGGGGTTGGTACTGAAACCCGAATCCATAGTCTTCTCCTCCTTGATTGCTCCAGGGGGTCTCGGGGTAATACCACTCGGATGGTGGTGGATACCCCCACTGGTTGGAGAAGCCATGCGGATCCATGATTCAGATCTGCACCAACAAAAACAAAAAACACCCAAGTGAAAAGCAAGGGTGGAAAAGAAAAGAAAAACGCTAAAGTAACAAACTTCTGCCTTTCCTAATACTCTAGAAAGTCCCCGGCAACGGCGCCAAAAACTTGATGCTCCAAAACACAACACCTAACAATGGCCAAGTGTAACCAATGAAAGGGACTGCAGTATAGTGGCACAAGTAATAAATATCGAATCCACGGGTCTCTAGAGTTACTATTACTCAGCTTCAGTTCATTATCTAGCAAACTAGATTGAGGATTGATTAACTAAACTACTCTACTAACTAAACTAAGTAAAACTACTAATTACAGTTTGGGAACTCACTTAGGTATGATTCCCCCTAGCTCCTCAATTAGGTCCAAGTTGTAATTCATTTTGGTTGATTTACTGTTGATTAAACTGCGGAAGATCCGACAGTAGCTTGGAATCTCTTAAGCTGACCAAGCCCTCTCAGTCTAACTATCCGGCAGACGACTAGTCTTCACCGGGATAGAAAGCTGAAGCAATAAGCACAGAACTCCACTACTGGAATTGGATTCCAGTACAAAGCAGTAAACTGGCTAACTCTCGTATAGCCAATCTCCTACTACCGAATGATGAGACTCTAGCAACCTAATCAGATTCTATCTATCTCAGATTGCAGCAGAAATCAGGAAAAGTTGATCAGACTTCAATTGACTCAATAAACATGCATCATTCGATTATAATCAAACAATATAGCATCCAAAACTTCATACAAGAAAGATCCTAACTCATGGAACTAGGGTTCCTCAAAACCTAAGTGAAGGGAGGTTACTCCATAGAGAAGAGAGAGACTGCAGAAATCTGATCTAGATCTTCAATCTCCATCTCCAAGCTTGATTCCCGAGCTCCAATGGCGAAGAAATCCTCCAAATTAGCTCCAAGAATGTTCCCAAGTCGCTCTCTCTCTCTAGGGTTCGTCCCTTGGGTGTTTGGGATCCAAAACCCAGCTCTCCCTCTCCTTTGGCTCGAATTTGGGTTAAAAACAGCCATTCCCGACTCGCACGGCCAGGGTGCACGGCCGTGCACATCACCATTCTGGCCGTGCACCTCAAAACGCGGCGTATCAATTAGTTGAACCTCAGCCAACTCGCACGGCCAGAATTGTATGTTGCACGGCCGTGCGTGGCCACGCACAATCCCGTGCGTGCCCACGCACAATCCCGCACGGCCAAACTGGTCACTTGCACGGCCGTGCGTGGCCACGCTGGTCTGCCCGTGCAGCTTGCTCAGCCTCTGTTTAATGCTTCGTTTCTCCCTCGTCCGGACTCCGAATCAATCGCCGTTTGATCCCAGACGCTCGTAGTCTCGTCCTCTTTCGTTTCATAACAAGCTTGCATGATTCTTTGTCCATAAAGTGAGGTAGAAATCCATTCTTCTTCAGGTCATGCCCGAGTTTCTTCTCTTGAATCGTCAATTGATCTCTGATTGACTTGAAACTTGCACCTATGCTTCACTTTATGTGCTAGGACCTGAAATGGGACAAAGGAACACAACCTAGCATAAAATAGGCCAAAGACGCAATAATTCAAGCTCAAACAATCAAGAAACAAAGGGGAAAACATGTGCAAATACCGAGTCATCAAAAGCCGAAGAAGATGTTAAGCGGTTACGGGCGAAACTTAACGACTCCTTAGCTCGGGAGAGCGCCTTGCAGACTGAGCTGTCTAAGGTCCGGACTGAGAAGTTCGAGATGCAGGATGCCCGGGAGGCCGATATGCTGCAGGCTGCCAAGGAGGCAAGGGAGGCGTTCTGGACCTCCGAAGAGTACCAGGTTGCTGACGATAAGAAGTACAAGAAGCTACTTCGCGACACTGTCGCTGCCATTCGCCATTGGTTCCGCCGCGAGTATCCCGAGGTTGTGTGGGATACCAACTCGATCTGGGATGCGATCGAGTTCTGGGGTGATGACGATGTCAATTCCGAGCATGTGGCCACTCCCTAAGCGCCTACCGACACCGCGGCAAGCAATGCCATCGAGACCGCCGAAGATGAGGAGGGCGGCCAGCCTGATGAAGGGGGAGAGCAGCTGGATTGATTTTAAGTCGCATTCCTGTTTTCCATTTCACTTCATTTTGTAAACTAAATCTGCCTGGACAGTGGATATTTTGGGGTGTCCTTTGCGGATGCCCCTGTGGAATGTTTAATTCTTGCTTTCGCTATTTCTCTGAATCTGGAAATTTTGCCAATCTCTCGTGATCTATCCTTCGTAAGCGATCATAACCTTAGAGCGGTTACATGTTGTCTGACGCTTTGAAAGCGTTTTATATACTCTTGAGGTAGCTACACCTCGTGGTTAACGCTTGGAAGCGGTTCACGGACTTTGCCCCCTGCTTTGAAGCGTTATGCTCGGAGGCGGTTGCATATTACGGCTAACGCTTAGAAGCGGTTTACAGATTTTGTTTTGCTTTGAAGCATTACGCTCAGAGGCGGTTACATATTATGGCTAACGCTCCGGAGCGGTTCCCGGATTTTGTTTTTTGCTTTGAAGTATTATGCTCAGAGGCAGTTGCGTATTATGTCCAACGCTTAGGAGCGGTTCACAGATTTTGTTTTTTGCTTTGAAGCATTATGCTCCGAGGCAGTTGCATATTATGGCCAACGCTTAGGAGTGGTTCACAGATTTTGTTTTTTGCTTTGAAGCATTATGCTCAGAGGCAGTTTCCAGATTGTTCGAACAATTTTACTATTCCGATACTTGAGCAAATACTAGCAGGGAACGCTCGGTGGCGTTTTCTCATTCAACTTCAAAAGTAGGGGCACCCCGCCTGCTAGGGGTGGCTTTACATGAGATTTTCCTTAGAAGGAGACGCCTACTCTCGTGCGCCTGTCTCAAAAGACTCAGCGGTCAATGGCTATCCTTGAATTACTCGTAGTACTTTTTTAAGTGAATAGCATTCCAAGTCTTCGCCATTGGCCTTCCCTCCATTGTGGCGAGTATGTATGTTGCTGGACCCACCTTTTCGCCTACGAGGTATGGTCCTTCCCATGCGGCCGCCAGCTTGCCATGCCCTTCCTTTTGCTCGAAGTTCCTTTTCAGGACCATGTCACCTTCTTCCAATGGCCTGGGCTTCACTTTGGCGTTGTACGCCTTTGCTGTCTTCATCTTCTCTTCTAGAGTCCTGACTAGCGTGGCGTCCCTTCTTGTTTCCACCATGTCCAAATGGTGAAGGAGTTTCTTGTGGTTGTCTTTTGGGTCATATGCTTGGACGCGCAACGACGGCAGGACCAGCTCGGTTGGTGCAACCGCTTCCGAGCCATATGTCAGAGCAAATGGCGTCTCCCCGGTAGCTTGCTTGTAGTTTGTGCGGTGCGCCCACAGTACGTGGGGAAGCTCCGCTGTCCACCCTCCTTTTGCTTCCTTCAACCTCCTTTTAAGACCTCGCAAGATTAGCTTATTGGATGATTCCACCTGTCCGTTAGCTTGGGGGAACGCCACGGATGCCATCTTGCAGTGGATGCGGTTTCGAGCGTAGAAGTTCTCAAATGGTCTGCAATCAAACTGCGTGCCATGATCAGTTATGATAGTATGAGGCGTTTCAAACCTGATCATTATGTTGTTGAACAAGAACTTCTGGATTTTGGCACTTGTGATTGTGTCCAGCGGCTCTGCTTCAATCCACTTCGTGAAGTAGTCGACCGCGACCACTAGATACTTCTTTCCCAAAGGAGTTGTGGGGAACGGTCCTAGGAGGTCTAGACCCCATTGCGCAAATGGCCATGGCCCTATGATGCTCTTCAGCTGTTCGCTTGGCAGATGTTGCTTGCTAGCGTGAATCTGGCACTCATGACACTTTTGGACCGCCTCCATTGCATCCTTCTTTATCGTTGGCCAGTAGTATCCCTGAAGCAATAATGTTCTCTTGAGGCTGTACGGTCCCGAGTGGGTTGCGCATGTGCCTTGATGTATTTCCTTGACTACCCACTCCGCTTCCTCTGGACCAAGACACTTGAGATATGTCCCTGAAAAAGACCTCTTACACAGTTGCCCCTCTACAATGGTGTAGTGAGCCGCCTTTCTTTTGAGCGCCTTAGCCAAGACCGCATCTCCCGGAACAACATTGTTTTGCAGGTAATCTACCAGTGGGGACCGCCAGTCCTGATTATCTTCTTCGAGGGCCATTACCTCGTATGCATGGGATGCTCCCTTTGTCACCGGAACCCGGCGTTCCCCTTCAAAGTCCATTGCAGTTGCCAGCTTGGATAGAGCGTCTGCATGATGGTTATCTTCTCTTTTCACGTGCTCAAGTTTCCATGAATCCAACTGAGCTAAGGTTCCTTTTACTTTCCCTGCCAACTTTGCAAGGGCTTCCTCCTTCACCTCATAGCTTTCCAGCACTTGGTTCACTACTAGCAGTGAGTCAGAGTAGATGTGTAGGTGGGAAGAGCCCATGCTGATGACAATCTTGAGTCCGCTGAGGAGCGCTTCATATTCTGCTACATTGTTGGTCTTTAACTCTAGGAATCTGTGAGTGATTTCATGTACCACCCCTGCTGTCGTCTCAATGACGATTTCCGCTCCTGCTCCTCCCTTTCCAGCTGCCCCATCAACGAAAAGACGCCATACTTCTGCTTCTTTCTTCTCCCTGGTATTTTCTAGGCTGAACCCCTCGGCGACGAAGTCCGCGAGCACCTGCCCTTTGATGGAAGGCCGCGGAGCGTATGCGATGTCGTACTCGCTGAGTTCGACGCCAATTTGGTCATCCTGTCTGAGACATCCATTCCCTTCAATATCTTCTTCAGTGGTAAATTTGATAGGACGACGACCTGGTGCCCTTGAAAGTAAGGGCGTAGCTTTCTTGCTGCCGACACAACCGCTAAAACCGCTCTCTCAATGGGCATGTAACGTCTTTCCGCCGGGAGGAGCGCCTTGCTCATATAGTAGACTGGATGGTCCGAGCCATCGCAATCTCTTCGCACCAAGACTGAGCTGACCGCTTGATCAGAAACCGCCAAGTAAAGATATAGGGGTTCACCTGGCCGCGGGGCGCTCATGACAGGAGGCGAAGTCAGTTGCTCTACCAATTGAAAGAAAGCCTTGTCGCATTCCGCACTCCACTGTGAGCGGGATGCCGATTTTTTCAGCATTTGAAAGAAAGGAGAGCATTTGTCTGCTGATCTTGGAATGAATCGACTTAGAGCGGCCATCTTTCCATTGAAAGCTTGAATTTCCTTAACAGTCTGAGGCGGTCTTAGACTTGTTATGGCTTCTATCTGTTTTGGGTTGGCCTCTATGCCTCTGCTTGTGATCATGAATCCTAGGAATTTCCCTGCTTTTGCCCCGAACACGCACTTGAGCGGGTTTAGCCTTAGGCGCTCTTTTCTCAGACTTTCAAAAGTCTCTCTTAGGTCCTTCAGGTGATCCGCTTCCCTCCTACTCTTTACTAAGACATCATCGACATATGCCTCCACGTTTCTTCCCAACTGGTTCTTGAAGACCGCATCGATCATTCTTTGGTACGTTGCCCCCGTGTTCTTCAGGCCAAACGGCACGACCGTGTATCAGGAGTTTCCCATGTGGGTAATGAAAGTGGTTTTCTCCTGATCCTCTTCAGACAAGCGAATCTGATGATATCCCGAGAACATGTCCAGGAAACTAAGGCTTTCATGATTAGCGGTCGCGTCGATGAGCTAATCTATTCTTGGCAATGGATAGGCATCCTTCGGACAGGCCGCATTTAGATTTGTGAAATCTATGCACATTCGCCATAACCCGGACGCCTTGCGGACGAAAACAGGGTTCGATAGCCAAGTAGGATACCTGACTTCTCTAATAAACCCAGCTTTTAACAACCGCCTCACTTCTTCCTCCAATGCCATTTGCTTTTCCAGGGACGCAGTTCTTCTTCTCTGTTGGATGGGCTTCGACTTACTTTTCACCGATAGGTGATGCTCGACGAGTTCCCTTGAGACGCCCGGCATGTCCTCCGAGGTCCATGCGAATAGATCTTTGTACTCTTTGAGGAGCTGCAACAGCTCTTGGGCCTTCTCTTCTGTTAGATGGGAAGAAATTCTCACCTTCTTTTTGGGCTCCTCGTCATCGAGCACTACCTCCGCGTCTCCCTCAACCGCCTCCGAGCGGGGGTGTCCCCCCCGGGTGTCCACCAAGTCCACCTCCAAGCTTTCTATCGTCGCCTGGTAACACTCCTTCGTCTGCTCTGTGTTTCCTTTGACCCGCCCTACTCTTCCCCCTGCTGGGAATTTAAGCATCTGGTGGCAAGTGGAAGGAACTGCGGAAAACAGTGACAGGAAACCGCGCCCTAGAATCGCGTTGTATTCTGACGGGCAGTCTGCTACGTGGAATTCCATGGTTCGAGTCTTCGTCACATCCGCCTCTCCAATTGTTACCTGCAGGGCGATCATGCCCAACACTCTGATCTTTGATCCCGAGAACCCCATGAGGCTCGTCGTCGAAGGCCAAAGATCTTGCATGCTCATCTTCATACTCTTTAGCATGGAGTAGAACAGTATGTCTGCTGAGCTTCCGTTATCTACCAACGCCCATGTGACTTTGAACTTTCTTGTTCTCAGGGAGATGACTAGTGGATCTTCTGCGCTTTCGTCGGGCGCTAGCTCGGAGGGCGAGAAAATGATGTCCACTTGCTCACTCCTGTTAACATTCAAGCACTGGACTAGGCGGTCCCCCTCACTTTGGGGTCGCTTCTGTCCGCCAGCGATGGTAATGACCTTTATGTCATCCCCATTCTGTCGGGGCGGACGTTGAGGTGACCTTCTCGGTGGTGGTGGTAGGCGGTCGCGCCGCGGGGATCTCTCCCTCCTTTGCGATCTTGACCTTCTGCGCTTAGGCGTGCGCGACCTTCTTCTCGGGCTTGGTGACCTCTCTCTATGGTGCCTCTCCTCCTGGCGGTGGGGACGTGTATCTAGGCGGCTTTTGAGGTCTCCAAGCGCCAAGTATTTTAGAATGGGCCTAAACTCCCGACACTCTGTGGTGTCGTGGGTGGGAATCTGGTGCCAGTCACACCACTTTCGATCCTCTTCCCTCCTATGCGTCTGGTGCGCATTGTTGTTGTCGCCTCTCCTTTCTCTTCCTTCTTCTTTGCTAGTGATGAAGATTTCCCTTCGACTATCACGGTGGGCATAGCTGTGTCTTTCCGGTGACCGCCCTCTTCTCTTGGGCGATTCCCCCTTTTTCTTATCTGGCTTCTCCTTTGCGCTGACACGCTTAGCGGCATCCTCCACGATCATGGCCTCTTCCAACAGAATTGCCTTTCTCACTAGGCGGTCCAGATCAGGCCATTCCTTCAATGCATGTTCCATTTTGATGAGCGCCCTCCGCAGCTCACAGCTGTGTGTTGACATGCGCAGGTTTCCCGCTGCCACACTTGGTGATATCCCTTGCACTTCACATGCTATGGTGTTCCATCGGTCATAGAAGTCGGTCAGCGTTTCTTCTCCGCCTTGTTTGCAGTTGATTAGGGCGGAGACGGTTAACTTCCTCCTTCGCTGGGACGCAAACTTGGAGGAAAAGAGGGTGGCGAACTGCTCGAAGTTTTCGATTATTCCCTCAGGAAGGGAGGTGTACCAAGTTCGGCAGTGTCCGCCGAACGTGACCGGAACGCCTTACACAGATCGGCGTCTGTGGCGTTGATGAGCTGCATTTTCAGTATGAAGGCGCTCAGGTGATCGGCGGGATCGGAGCTTCCCCTGTAAGTCGGTAGCACGAGCGATGAGAAGTTTGGGGGTACTTGAGTTCTGAACAAACTTTTGGCCAGAGGGTTTTGGAGGATGTTATAGGCCTTTGCACCTCCATATGAGGGCTTAAGATGTTCCTCCAAGAACCCCAGGGCTGACATCTTCCGTTCCTTCTTCTTTATCAGACTCCCCGCCTTCTGTCTGAGCAGGGCTGTCGGGGTCCTTTTCTCTTCCTTTTCCTTTGGCTGCTCGCTTCCCTGAGCTTCTGGGGCCTCGCCTTCCTTCTCCTTGAGCATGGCCAAGATTTGGCTCAAACTCTCTTGCATGCTTGATATTTGCTGTCCCTGACTTTTGACGCGGTCTTCCATTTCCATCTCTTCCTCCACCACGGGCATTTCCATTCCACGGATGTCGCTCATTACCACCTCCTGACCGCGGAAGCTGTTTCCCCCGACTACGCCTTTGACAGGGGTGTTGGAGCTCTCATCCATCCTTTCTTCAGTGCTATGCTCGCCCCAAGGTGGGCGCCAAGTTGTTTAAGCCTAGATCGTTCCAGGTGGTTTGTGCAGAACGAGCAAGGCGTCTGTTCCAGATGGCGGGTGTACTCCAAACTCCTACAAAACAAGGGTCCGTGGGCGGTCACCCCGGACACTCTCCAATGCTTAAGTTAGAGAGAGAATAAGAAGTGTTGTTTAGGTTTAGAGAGAGAGAGAGTAGTTGAGTTACCATTAATGCCGATACCAGTGTATTTATAGTCAGCCAGCTTGAGTATGAGGCATTAAATGCCCTGTCAAGCGGCCTAGATAGGCTTAGCTTTATCTGGACCGCCTGCGGAGGGCATTAAATGCTCAGTCCTGCTGTATACGAGGTAAGTATCCTAGGAAGATCTACTTTCCCTGACACCAACGGTTTCCTGTGTCGGGCGGCCTATTCCCCATCGCATCATAGGGTGGCCGCCTACGGTATCTCCTTTCCCCATGCCCTTTCTCGGGTCCCTCGGTGTGACTCGGACCCCTCTTTGGGCCCTGTTCTGTCATCTTCTCGTGGGCCTCTTAGGCCCAATACCGCTTAACTATGGGCCCAACACTTACCAATGATAATAAACCCTAGATTAATCATCTTGGAGAATAAGAAAAACAATATTTTTCGTATTGCATATTTCCTAATTCAAAACTCTAAAATATTAATTCAACTGAAGTAGTCATTCACCAAAAAAATCCATGTGCATAGGTGGACAAATATATAAGCTTAATATGCAATCATGGAAAAAATCGAAAATGAATGAGAATAAATAAACATAATCAATCATGAATTTTTTTCCCTATGTTTATGAGGCTGAGTCCAATGGGTACCCCATTTATGGGGGAATATGCAAAAATGAAAGAGGAGATGGTTCAATGGGGAGGTTTGGGCCTCCAAAAATGGAGGATCATGCATATGGAACCCCAAATTTGGAGGTGGAAATGGGGGATGCCCCAAATATAGAGGCTCACCAAAGCCTGTGACGTGGCTTTTCTTTTTCTTTTTAAGATTTTAGGGGTTAATTGAGAGTTTAATTAGGAGATTAGTTAGGGATTTAATTATATCAAGCATTTCAAGTGTTGTGTGTAAACCCAAATTAGGTACATAATTTTTTGTCAAAAAAATTCGGACTCGAAATTTAACAAAATTCTATCGAAAATTTTGTATTAAAAATGATGACGAACTATACAAAAATTAACATGAATAAATTATATTAAGGCTACGATAAGTACATTTTTAAGTAAATGGAAAAACTGGAAATATTAAGAACCCCAAATATGGAGTTTGTTGCATTGGAGCAAAAGAAGGGAAAATGGGGTTCAAGGCCCCCAAATTTGAGATTTTGCATTGGACTTGGCCTGACATTCACTTTTGTATGTATTTGATTAATTTTAAGTAGATGACACTCAAATAAGGTAGAACTAATTGTTCTTGCAAACAATTTGATTCAAATATCAATTTAGTCCATTCTGTAGGAACAAATCATATTTGGTACTATGTTAAAAAAAAATCATATTTGGTAGCCATCCTTTAAAAACTAATTTAACTAGCACCAATCCCCAAATTTGAAAGGAAACCATCTCACCGAAGAAAACAACAAGTGACGAAGTTGGAAGGAAAGCGGGCCGTTAACTTACGAGGGCGTAGGTACCAAAGCAGCCTTACCCGGCCCAGCCCAGCCCATTAGACCCACAAACTCTACATAAAATCAGGGGAAAAGACCCGAAAACCCGAATCCGGAAAACAAAAAGTATCAAATTTTTTTTTTCTTCTCTCCCCCAACCCAGAAAATTCAATCCCCAATTTCCCATACCCACCACCACCACCACAATCCACAATCCCCAAAATTCCCAATCCCATCAATTCATCCATCCCATTTCCCATCCCTTTTCTCCATGGTGGAGAAGACGAAGAAGAGAAGAGAGCCGCCGGCGGAGCAGATTGCTGCCTAAACCCACCAAACCCAGATCCCCAATCGCAGATCTCTCCGTTCCTCTCTTCTCTCTCTCTCTCTCTCTCTCTCTCTCTCTCTCTCTCTCTCTGATTCTGAGGCTTTTCCTCCCACCAGCCCCCTTATCCAAATCCACCCCCGATGCGGCGACCCAGAAACCAGCCCGCCGCCGAGCAGATCGGCGCCCCTCAGGGCGAAGAGATCAAGTTTCGAGGCGTCAGGAAGCGGCCATGGGGCCGATTCGCCGCCGAGATCAGAGATCCTTGGAAAAAGACGCGGGTATGGTTAGGTACCTTCGATTCCGCCGAGGACGCCGCCAGGGCTTACGACGCCGCCGCTAGATCTTATCGCGGCGCCAAGGCCAGGACCAATTTCCCGCTGGTCGATTCGCGGGTCTTTGTTGGCGGCGGCGGCGGGGGAGAGGATTTGATGGTCAAGCGTCAGGCTTGGACGACTGGAGAGGCGGAGGAGGAGGAAGGAGGAGCGACGGCGGTGCTGGTGAATGGGTGGACGAGCAGCAGCATGAGCAGCACGGTGGAGTCGTGTAGCGGGCACCGGGCCGGGTCGAACAACCCGGTCCGGATCCCGGACCCGGCAAGGGCTCGGAGGCGACTACCGGCCGTGGTGGTCTCGCCCGGTGATTGTCGGAGCGACTGTGACTCGTCGTCGACGGTTGTGGACGATGACGACGACGGCGTCGGCAGCAACGAACGGGATTGTACGGTCTCTCTATCTCAATCTTCTACCGGTAAGCTTTTGCCTTTTGATCTGAATTTCCCGGCTCCGATAGACAATAACGAAGACGACGGCTCTGCTCCCGGATTGGGTGCCTGTATCCCCAGCGACGGCCAACTCCCAACCTTGGCCTTGTGTCTGTAACGATTTTTTACTGTAAACCCCCCTTTGTATTTCTGCCTTTTTTTTTCTTTCCCTATGGTTTTATTTTCTCGGGAAAATGACAGAAGAAATGGAGGATGAAAATAAAAAAATTGGTTACCAAAAAGGGAATCGCAGCCACAGCCCACAGCAGCAGCAGCAGCATCAGCAAGCTGGAGAACGATGAATTTGATGATGGGTTGCTTTCAATTTAGATGTATGATTAGATGAGTTGAACAAGCTCTAAGCTTGATACTAGCACGAATCGCTTTGCGTCCATGTTTGATGATGAAGCCTTGTGTTTTAGCTTCTTCATCTTGATGCTTTCATTTGTTGTGTAATTTGGTTAGATCTTTCTTAGAATGGAAACATGGGGGGTTTGGGGAGAGAGGATCATCTACTGTAAAATGACTGATCATGGCTACCACGAGATCTGTGGTTCGTTTCGAGTTGTGATCCTCTCTCTCTCTGTTATCCATTGAAGCAGAAATCAAAATCCGCGTTTTCTGGTTTCTCTGTGTACAAAAAACAATAGAGAATTCTATCTGTACTATTAACACATCTTGAAGTTTTTTTCTTCTTCCTCTTCCATTGCTTCTTTCCTTTGCCTTGGTTCCACATACATACTATGGTGTTTTGCAGTACTATTGCTTCAATGTTTTAGGGTATACTTTCTGGGATTTTTGAAGGTGGTTATCATCATTAGGGTTGGGGAATCATGAATTTGATGATTGGTGGAGGAGGCAAATTCACATGCTATGTAAAAGCACATACTGGGGCTCTGTTTCTTTTCTTCTGGCTTTAGGAATGACGTTACTTTTCTTTCTTCCCTTGGCTCATTGAGCAATATTTACTTTTAAGTAAAGCGATAAGTTGAAGACTACTTGAATAGATCTATCTAAATCTAACCATAGTTGAGAAAATGTTGTGGTATTACTATTTACTAATTGTTTGGATGATGGATGTTGGTAAGAGGAAGGGAGTGATTGTATAAAATGTAAGAATGGATGCATTGCATTGAAGATGGAATGTTATTGCTTCTACGATATATTTCAAGTTTTAGATTGTTGATTGGTGGGCCTCTTCAGTCATTAATGTTTGAGCTTGAATTCACAAGTTTATCCCCATTTCATTGATTGATAGTGATACCATTTTCCGACTCCAACTCCATAACGAAAGATTCATCATCCCCATAAATTCAAGGGTCACTTGGCGGCTGTGAATTAGGGAAGGAAATACATCAACTCCAGACGATATGTATAGGCAAGTCAAAAGACATGAATTTTAAGAAATAGGGTAAACGTTTTGTGGGTATGTATGCATGTAACTACTGATCTATTTGCTCTTAGTTTGAGTCGGATTCATACAACTATAGTTTATGAAGATTGAAGAAAATAAGCTAAAATCACTACAATTATTGGGGGATCATTTTTTGAGGGTGGCTTCGATGTGCGATATCGGACACAGAGAGATAGATTGATGAAAAATCGAATATAGTTTGTTGAATAACAGTACATATTTGGCAAAGTTATTTTGAAATGTTTGATATTTCTTTTGGATCGATGAAGAAATTTACCGAGTTTCAACAATAAAAAAGAGCAAAATTGTCGAATGATATTATTAAAGATGCGGCAATTATTCTCAATTATGTTACTCTAAACTGCCTATAATCTTTGTTTAGAACATAAAACAAGAGAAAACAATCAAGAATTTGCATTGTAGAGTTCCAACTTCTGCATACAAAGTGGTAGACAACTCTCTCCAGCCTCTTCTATTTTTTTCACAAGAGTGCCTATTCATTCATCATTGGAATTATTAGTAGGTCGTTGTTTGGTATGTGCGCGTTTCAGGAAAATAAGAAAAGAAAAAAAAAAATAAAGCAAAAGGAGGATTGGTTCCTTCTTCTTTAAAGTCTCAGCCTGGTGTCTTCCCCTTCGCGTTGATGCAAAACAAACAAAGAAAGAAACACACAGTTGTGTTGACGTCTCTCCTTTTTTGACCAGTGGTTATGCAACAAATACAAATACGTTTGAAAATTGTCCATCCTTCCAGGCTCCAGCTAGCTAGCTATCTTCCCCGCGGTAGCCTTTAATACCATCGACGTCTTTTGATGCGTCCAAATTTTGAGAAAGAAGGAAGGAAGAACCCCAATCTCTTTCCCTCCCTCTACTCCATTTTGTTTATTCATTTATTCTCTTGTTTTTGGCGTTTCTTTCTTTTGGAATCTGCCAGCCAGCCACCGTGGTCGCTTCGGCTGCAGGGAAATACCTCAAGAGCGAGGTAGTTTTGGGCTCGATGATGATGGTGGTCTGGGTCCTTGCTCGCTCTGGATTCCCCGGCCGACATTGTTAGTACAAGGCCCAACTATGTTCCGAGCTCGGACATAGCTGCCTGCTCAAAGCCTCAAACGTAGCCGTAGTTTTTTGGGGCTTTGAAAGCTTGTTGAGAGCAAAAGTAATCTTTGCAAATTGGACCATACCAAAGGATTCGTTCAATTACGATAGATTGACCCAGAGTAATTTGTTTCCCCTCAAAGATAACATGGTTTGCCAAATCGTACCAGACTCGTTTGTGGTAAGGTAGTTTATGGTATGATAGTGATCCACTCAATTACGATAGATCGACCCAAAGTAATCCCCCCCCCCTCTCAAAGATAACATGGTTTGCGAAACTGCAGCGGGAGTCGTACCGAACTCGTTTGTGGTAAGGTAGTTTATGGTATGATAGTGATCCACTCATTTCGTACCGATATAATATCATGTTTGGAATAATAAAATAATTTTTTCCAGAATCATACAGGTAAAATCAAGATAACGTTCCGGAACAATATCGAAATATACAGAATAATCTTATTGAAAAGTGTATGCAAAAAGAATCAGATGTGGGAAAAAACGTGACCTGTATTGATCTCCTTGATACACTAATGGTAGTGGGATTATACATGTGGTAAGTGGAAAAATAGAATAAAAAGAATAAAGTTCTTTTTATGTATTATTGTTAATACGCCCCCGCAAGACGAAGGAGGTATCAACGACGCCGATCTTGGACCAAAGTAGTAGGAATCGTGTGGAGGGAAGTGGTTTGGTGAGGGCATCGGCGAGCTGGTGAGACATGAGAATGTATTGAACACGAAGTCTGTCATCTTGAACTAGTTGTTACACGAAAAGATAGTCCAAAGCCAAGTGCTTCATGCGAGAATGAAAGACCGGATTGGAGCTGAAGTAGGTGGCGCCGAGATTGTCGGAGTAGATGGTAGGTGGAGCAGGTAGAGGATGGCGTAGCTCAAGGAGAAGTTTCTGCACCCATTGCAATTCAGCGGTGGCATGGGCAATGGCACAATATTATGCCTCGGTATAGAGCGAGCCACCGTCCGCTGTTTTTGAGACCGCCAGGATATGAGGGTGGAACAAAAGTAGACAAGATAACCAGAAGTGGAGGAGCGATCATCAAGATTTCCTACCCAGGCAGAGTCGGCAAAGGCAGATAGACGCAGTGGTGCATTGGAGCGACGAATAGATAGGCCACAAGTGAGAGTGCCAGAGACATATCGTAGTAGCCGTTTCACACACTGCCAGTGAGACGAGGATGGAGCATGCATATATTGGGAGAGCTTGTTGACTGAGTAGGCGATGTCTGGGCGGGTGGAGACAAGATATTGGAGGGCACCGAGTGCTTGACGATAGCGAGTGGCATCAGTAGGTGGAGAACAATCCTGAAGAGTGAGAGATGTCGAAGCAGCAAGAGGTGTGTCAACAGCTTTGGCATCAGTCATGAGGAATCTCTGTAGAACATCGACCATGTATTTGTGTTGAGAGAGTATATAGCCTGTTGAAGTAGGAATAACCTCGATGCCTAGGAAATAATTGACATCCCCAAGTTCTTTGAGAGAGAAGCGACTCGAAAGAAAGTCTTGAAACCAGGTGAGGGTGGCCTGATCATTGCCGGTGTGAAGTAAATCATCAACATAGACCAGAAAGTAGAGCATAGTGGATCCGTGAGAGTACATAAAAAAGAGAGGCATCAGACTGAGTCTTTGTGAAGCCAAACTAGATGAGGAAGGTGCTTAAGGCAGTGTACCAAGCCCGAGGTGCCTGACGAAGCACATAGATAGCACGACACAGTCGACATACGTGGATAGGTCGCGTGGGGTCGATGAAGCCGGGAGGTTGTGCGACCTAGTAGTAGAAACAGTGTGAAATAAGCGTTTCTTGGGCTTAAAAATGCCATCCTGGGCCCTTGTGCGCATAGTGTGCGTGCGCTGGGGAGGAGGTGTCAGGCCTGGAGTGGAGACGGGCCCAGATGGGGGTGTGGCAGGGTCGGGCGATGTAGTGAAAGACGACCCGGGTGATGAAGAATCCACGGTTGGGGACGCTGCTGCAGGGGGAGTGGGCATGGGACGGACCAGCGGGAGAGATGGGCTTGGTGGAGCGGCCTGGTACAGTGGTGATAGTGGAAGTGGAATCGAGCAGCCAAGAATCAACCAAAGGGGGTGCAGGGAGGTTGTGTGCTTAAAACCTGGAAAAGTGGACTCAACAAACACTACATGTCTAGATAGATAGATAGATAGATAGATAGATAGATAGATAGATAGATAGATAGATACGATGAGTGTGGGGGTCAAAACAGCGATATGCACTACGTTGTGGGCAATAGACAAGGAAGAGACATGGACGAGAGCGAGGGTCAAGTTTGTGAGCTGAGTAAGGGCGAAGCCAAGGGTAGCATAGACAACCAAAAACACGAAGTTTGTGATAGTTAGGAGGGAGGTTGAAGAGAAGATTGTAAGGTATTTCACCATGCAAGGTCGAGGAGGGCATCCTGTTGATGAGATAAATGGATGTGGAGAAAGCAAAAGACCAAAAGATAGTAGGGAGTTTAGCATGGTAGAGAAGTGTGATACCAGTTTCAACAATATGACGATGTTTTCGTTCGGCCAAACCATTATGTTCAGGTGTATGAGGAGGAGTGAGTAGGTGAGTGATGTCGTAGTCAAGTAATGCTGAACGTAATTTTTGAAATTCTCCGCCACCATCCGTGTAGAGTCGACGAATGGTGGTAGAAAAGTAGTTTTCAACCATTTTTCTAAAGTCAAGAAATACTTGGAGAACATCAGATTTATGGCGTAAAGGATAATACCATGTATAACGAGTGAAATGATCAATAATAACCAAATAATATCGATAACCATCGATGGATGAAACTGGAGCAGGACCCAAACATCAGTATACAAAAGATCAAATGGATGATTGCTAGATAAAGTGAAAACTGAGAATGGTAGTTTGTGGCTTTTATTGGAAAGACATGCATCACAATGCAAGGTTTCTAGGAAAGTTGAAACGGGAAGAGAAAAAGACCGAATGAGACTGGTAAGAGATGGTTGAGAGGGATGACCAAGGCGAGCATGCCGGGATGTAGTAGAGGTCCTAGTGGTGGTAAGTGCCTAGCATACATTGTCCACCTCACGAGGTAACTCGTAGACATCACCATTGTTTTCCCTCCTCAGCAAGTGCGCCCCCGTGCGAAGATCCTTCACAACAAAATAATTGGCAAAAAATTCCACAGAAACCGGATTAGTCTGACATAATTTGGCCACCGAGATAAGATGCTTCTTGATATTGGGAACACACAATATATCTCGCAAATGTAAATTATTCGACCCAAAAGTGAATGTTGAAGAGCCATTATGAGAAATGGCCAAACTTGTACCATCACCCACTGTGATCTCATCGGGCCTAGAGTAGTCTGAATAAAGGGAGAGCTTGCCCAAATCTGTAGTGACATGGTGAGAGGCACCTGAATCCATTAACCATGGCCCAAAGTAAGAGGTAGTGGCGACGTGGGTCTGAGCTGGAGCCTGGCGGGCCTGTGGGAAAAGTTTAAAGCATTGCCTGACGAAGTGCCCATGCCTCTCACAGAACTGACAAGTGACTTGGACTCGTCTCTAGCGGTGGGCTCAGGAGAAAGATACCGGGCGGGAGAGGATTGGCGTGTGGGCTGATTGAGCTGGCCCAAATCCCCAAAGCCTTAAAGGCCTTGCTGCTGTCGTGAAGTGGAGCCAGCGCTGCGGGAAGGAGACTGATAGCTGTTGCTGCCGCCGCCACGCCATGAATGCCCTGAATAAAACGCGGTGGGGACAACAGCCAGCCGTGCCTGGTCTTTGAGATCAGCTTCATATTCTACAAGGGAGTCGACCAATTTCTCAATGGTTATGACGCTGCTCCTTGCACGGACAGCTGCTATAAACTGCTTATATTCCTCACCAAGACCGCGGAGACAGTGAACCACAAGATCCATGTCCGAGACGGGATCATCTACAAGTGCAAGCTCAGCGACAACAAGTTTTAAGCCATTGACATATGTAATAACATCCCGAGCACCTTTGATTCAGCAGAGACAAAGGAATACAATGATTCTGAAATTGAGCAGCGAAGAGCGTGGAGAATAAGCTTATCTTGCCAGAACCAACGACGGTATGCCGGATTAGGTGTGGACTTATTGTTCTCAGTGATCGTCGAGGTAGGAACAACACCCGTGCCATCAATGTAGTCAATGAGATCCAGTCCCATGAGCAGGGTCTCTAGCTGTGATCTCCAGGAATTGAAGTTTGTTGATGTTAATTTCAGAGGCAGCTGTGCTGCAGGATTGAACGTGATGATAAGATCTTCATTTTCTGCTGTGATATTGGTAGCCGAGACAGTTGAATCAAGCATGGTTCTGAGGAAGGAATGAACACACGAGTGCTAGGAAGAGAAGGAAGCAGGATCGGATCTAGCTGAACTTTGCTAGCTATGATACCAGGAAGAGTGTATTAAAAAAGAATCAGATGTGGGAAAAAGTGATATTTATTGATCTCCTTGATACACTAATATACTGCTGATACAATGAGCATTTGTAGCTAACTGAGCATCCCATGTTCCTGAGGAATAGGAACAGAATGGTAGTGGGATTATACATGTGGTAAGTGAAAAAATAGAATAAAAAGAATAAAGTTCTTTTTATGTATTATTATTAATACTTATAAGAAACTAAGCAAGACCAAATATCATCTCCACATTAGAAGAAAAATTCTAATGGGCCATCTCAATATTTAGACAAGAGAGCTAAAAAAAAAGCCAAGAACCCTGTTGTTACAACTAAATTTTTACAATCTATCTGAAAATTATGCTCTTATACATGAGTTGTAAGTCAATTTCAAATTTGCCTTTCCGCCAGAAAGATTAATCTTTTTCGAAGCTGAATTGATACAATTATCGACTTTCCTCTTCCCGAGTGCATTTGATGTTCACCGACGCCTAAAATGAGCAGAAAAAAGGAATGCAAGGGGCACAAAAGGGGGACAATAGGGGATATGGAAACAGAGGCTGCCAACGGGAAAAAGAAGCTCAGCGGCTCTCAGGAGTGGTGGGTGAAGGAATCCAAAGATAAAAATCTATTGCTAAGCCCAACCCTGGCTACAAAGGCCCAAAGCTCACATCTGGGCCAAGCCTCCTCATCAAGCTCGGCCCCCTTGCAGGAAGTGATTCAGGGCCTGAAAACACGATGATTCATCTTCTCTCGGTACCTAAGTTGACGACTGGCTAGAAAAAGAACGTTGACCCAAATTCAAAACAAATTTCAGCCCGCCAACGGTCTTAGAGGAAAAACGAGGAGAATCCCCAGAATCAGCCTCACAACAAAGGCATCAATCTCAGGGCAAGCAAGAAGCCTCTCCAAATCAACTCATCCAAAAAAAGACCTCGCCTAAAAAGCCCTTGGAGGGTAGTTACCCGATAACCCTCAAAGCCATTGAGGAGTTCAATGCTCACACTTAGGGGTGGCGGTCGGTTAGTTTTGGTTATAACCGATAATCGATCGATCGGTTATCGGTTAACCAAACTGACGACCCCCTACCGAACAGCGATCGACCAAAGCACCTCGGTTAACCGAAAACAGACCGGTCGATTACTGGTTAGTTGTTTAGTTAATCGAGATAACCAACAGACATGGAGGGGGTTACTCGGCGTCGCCTGTGGGGGTTGATAGAGAGTCACCAGGGGAGTCTTGGGTCGTTGCTGTGGTCGTCGAGGTCGAGGAGAGTCGCGCGGCGGCGCAGGATCGAGGAGCTCGTCAGGTAGGGAGTCGCGTGGCGGCGGGCTCAGTGGGAGTTGATGAAGGGTCGCGCGATGGGAGGGTGAGCAGTCGAGGGGAATTGATGAAGAGATCGACGGCGCGAGATTAGAGCGGAGTTGATCGGTGGGAGGGTGAGGAGTCGAGGGGAGTTGATCGGTGGGAGTTGAATAAGGGATCGATGGCGCAGGAGATTAGAGAGAGCGTGAGGAGTCGAGAGGGATGATGGAGGGGGGGTCGGGTCGATGAAGGAAGGAGATAGGGTTAGGGTTTTGTTTTTATTTTTAATATAAAATTACGTTGTTTTGGATTGGTCGGTTAGCCGGTTAACCGACATCGGTTACTCGGTTAACCGAAGTGCCTATTATCATTACCGACCACCGATCGACCAATTCAATTCTCGGTTATCTGTTAACCGGTAACTGACGGTTATCGATTTAATCGCCCAGTTAACCAGTTACCGAATGGCCACCCCTACTCATACTCAAGCGAAGGCTCTGGAATTTCAGAAGCTATTCTCTATGAAGCCATCTGATGTGGACATGGAAGAGACACAAGTGGCGGCCACTACAAATCCTCATCTAGAAGACAATGGCAATCAAGGAGGATAACCCGCCATTCCGGTGGCTATTGCCTGATCATCTGAGAATTTCTCTGACTCTGGCTTTTTCCTTTCTGTCTTTCTCTAGTTTTCCTGTACAACCTAACTTTAAAGTTCTAACGTGGAATGTGTGTGGCGCAGGAAGTAAAGACTTTTGGCGGGGAATCAAACTTCTTGTCCAATCCTACAATCTCGATTGTCTTCTTTTATTTGAACCCCAGATTAGTGGTGATCGTGCCAACAGAGTTTGTGGGACTCTGCGTTTCGATGAGGTAGTGAGAGTTGATGTCGTGGGAAGGAAATGAGGTATCTGGTTAGCTTGCAAGACTGAGGATTCCAACATGCAGCTAGTAGATGCCAGCAGGCAACACATCACTGTCAAAGTTTATAGAAGCAGTCAAGAGGAGTCGTTACTCACTACAAAGTGTCCTCAATACAATTTTCATCAACAGTTGTGGGATCATCTTATACAAACCCGTAGAAACACCCGGATTCTATGGCTCCTCACTGGCGACTTCAACGCTTATCATTTCCCCTCAGCGAAAGCTGGAGCAATCTCCTCAACTACACTTAGGCGTTGTAAAAAATTTGTTGATTGGATTGATTTAGCGAATCTGATTGACTTGGATTTTTCAGGGGCCCGGTTTACTTGGTTTCGGGGGAATATAGGAGCACATTATAAAGCCAGTAGAATTGACAGATCCTTCTGCAATTCGGACTGGAATTCAGCTTACTCTAACACTTTTGTTTAACATCTTACCAAGCTCCCCTCTGATGATCTTCCTATTTTAACCAGCAGTGCAGGGATCATACCTACACCTAGTGGAGGGAGACCTTTCCGGTTCGAGGCTG